CATGTTGGAGGAGCAGCAAAGACGAACCTTGGGGCAAAGAGCAGCATGTTTTGATTTCCCTTCGATGAAGTATGAGGTCAGCGAGCAAGGCGGAGTCACGGCGGCTGGGGTTCAATGGGGTGGACGTCACTACGTCGTGGTTGCGAGAGATAACACATGTAGTTGTCAGTTCCCTCAGCTCCATCACTTGCCATGCTCCCACATGATAACCGTTTGTATGTTGCGAGGTTTGGATGTGGAGGTGGCCCCCCGAATGTGTTATGAAGCTTCCAATAAGGCTGTGCAGGACTCGTACTCCCCTAGGTTTGAACCTTACCTAGATCCATCGCAGTGGCCAAGTTATGATGGAGAGTTCTTCGTGCCCGACTTGTCGTTAAAGAACAACACACGAGGAAGAAGAAGGACAAGAAGGTTCAAGAACGATATGGACAAAGCATATAAAGGCTCAGCCAACCGACGGTCACAAAAGCCGAACAATACAAATTCAGAGCCGGTCATGCAAAATAGATGCTCGCTATGCCACGAACTAGGCCATAAGAAAACTAGGTGCCCGAAGCGAGACAAGTCTAAGGATCGACCGAAAAAGCGCCGTAGGACGGGGGGAGGTGGTGAGGGTAGCACACAGGTGGGATTGGATGACATTCATTTGCTAAGTTCATATTGTTGCTTCAATGTTTACTTTCCGTTGTCCTCCTTTCCGTTCTCATTGTGATTTTTCCATTTAATATTTTTTCAATTACTAATGATTCAATTTTCATTTGCAGGATGGAGCACTTTCCGGGGTTGGAGGATTTCTACGAGGAGAAGCACCGGGCCCCACAGATTGCCAGCGGAGAGGTTAGCATCAACAATATTCCATTTTTTTATGATCGAATTTATTTTTTCTTCTTTGATTTTAGTTCGTACAGATAGATCATCCATCATAGAGATATCTCAAATCAAAATTCATGAGCCTCAAAGCAGAGCATGTAAACACACAGATCTTCTTTTCAGTTTTCTTGCTCAATCCCAAAATTAAAGTTCCTAGTTGCATGAAGTATTTTCCACAACCCTTGTATATGATATATTGTCGCTAACTTTATGTTATTATGTTTGTCTATTGATGCAGCGCTTGAAGACCCTTCGAGTCAGAGGTCACACGGCGCACATACTGTTCGACGACCGGTACGTCCCGTACCTACGGCGGGCGAAGCTCTTGGCGTTCGTGACCATGGCGCAGCGACCGGTGCCTCTGTACAACGCCGCTGCTCTGACGGCCCTAGTGGACCGGTGGCGTCCAGAGACACACACCTTCCACCTACCGTGCGGGGAGCTGACGGTCACTCTGGAGGACGTCGCCATGATCCTGGGTCTTCCTATCCGGGGTCAGGCGGTCACAGGTGACACAGCGTCAGGGAATTACTAACGAGTCTTCGTATTCATTTGTTAATTTTTTTGCAATTACTAATGATTCCATTTAATTTCCGGTTACAGGTGACACAGCGTCGGGGAACTGGAGGGAGAGGGTCGAGGAGTACCTTGGTCTGGAGCCTCCAGTGGCACCTGATGGTCAGAGGCAGACGAAGACATCAGGGGTTCCTTTGAGTTGGTTGCGAGCCAACTTCGGTCAGTGTCCCGCTGAGGCAGACGAGGCTACAGTACAGCGATACTGCAGGGCGTACGTGCTGTACATCTTCGGCAGTATTCTGTTCCCTGACTCTGGTGGAGACATGGCTTCTTGGATGTGGCTGCCGTTGCTCGCGGACTGGGACGAGGCGGGTACCTTCAGCTGGGGGTCGGCTGCCCTAGCCTGGTTGTACCGGCAACTCTGTGATGCTTGCCGAAGGCAAGGCGGGGACGCGAACCTAGCAGGCTGTGTTTGGTTGCTACAGGTAAGTTCACGCATGTTATGTTTCATAACATTTCAATTTCTTGCTAACATGTTGGAAGCTAACGTATGTGACGCAGGTTTGGATGTGGATGAGGCTTCCAGTTGGTCGGCCCATGTGGAGGACCCATCAGGCTTGGCCGCACCAGGATGCAGACCGACGTCCCACTGTAGCTCACCTGTGGGAATCGGTCCCATCTCCAGTAGTAGGCCGCAGGAATTTGGCGTACTACCACTACACAAACGAGATGGACTACCTACAGCCAGAACATGTAAGCTATTCGGGGTTCTATCACACATGAAGATGGTTTCTTACTATATAGTACTAAATGTGCTTCAATGTGTTTTATTTTTGTTGCTGCAGGTGGTGTGGATGCCATATCAGGCACAGGAAGTGCTCGAGCTAGAACTGAATCCCATGTGCCATATAGAGGATGCGTTGAAGACCCTACGGTGCCCACTGATCTGCTTCTATGCAGTGGAGTTCCAGATGTGCCACCGCGTGATGCGGCAATTCGGGAGGCTTCAAACAATCCCACACCGTTTCTCCACGAGTATCGACCTACACAAGTTAGTAATTTCACTTAACAATTTATTTTGCTTGCCCAATCAGTCACTTCAACATTTACTACATATTTGAGTTGGACATTTTGCATACGTGCAGGGTGGACCGTCGGAAGAACAAGAAGGTGACTGATTGGGCTTACTACCATCAGGATCATATCACGCAATGGGAGAAGTTCGAGGAGAATGGAGTACCAGACCAGGGTCAGCACAACGGGACGGAGTTCGACTTGTACTTGGCGTGGCTCCACAGGACCTACCGTCTTGTCCTACGTCCGGCTTGGACACTAGCCGACATAGCGGATGACCCCGAGGATGTTGAGGAGCAGAACGAGTACGATACTCGTACCCGTCTAGGTACCACGGTCGAGACGGGACCTGTTCGCGACAGAGTGGTTAGTTTCTAGCATTAATGTTGTATATTATTTCATTTCAATGCCATATATGTTGTGACTTACTTCATTTCAATCCTACAGGCTCGAGAGCTCTTGCGGACCGTCAACGACGCGGGAGTGGCGCTAGGCACGGCTCCTGGCTCCGAAGGAGAGGGCGGCACCCTCCGCAACGCCCTACAGGTAATCGTTGGAAAGAGATGAAACTACGGTGTTTTCTTCCAAAAGCGATAACTTAACATGGATTATTTTTTATGCAGAGACTACGGCAGCGATGTCGGAAGTTGGCAGCAAGGCTCGGCTGCAGGTCGACTGATGTGGTCGAACATGCTCATGCCCACCAAGAGGGGGATGAAGAAGGGGAGGTGGGTGACGAGGAGGGCGAGCAAGACAAAGAGGCGGAGGAAGGAGATGAGGAGGAAGAAGGGGATGAGGACAGAGAAGAGGAGGCGGATGAGCTCGGTCCCTCGCAGCTAGAGGACGCACCAGAGTCGTCACAGCCGGATATCTTGCAGCCCGGCCCGTCTCGACCACGACGCCGGCGGGCTCCTTCGCAGGACTGGAGGTACACCCCCGACGTGCCTCGTCCTCGCACTAGAGGTAGGAGGAGGTGAGTGCATGGTTCAATGGATGGATGGATAGATGGATGGACTTGATGCATGGTTCGATGGATGTATGGACTGGATGTATGGACTCGACTGGATGTATAGCCGAGGATCGATGGGATGTTTTTATTTCTTATATGTATGGACTTCATATATGGATGTATTGATGGATTCTATGGATGTATGGAATGATGTTGGGATTGATGGATGGATGTATGTTTTGTATGGTTCTCTGGATATATTACTGCCTGTAAATTTCTGTCATTTGATGTTTGCCTGTGTTGTGTGCAAAGTTTTGCTAAAGTTTAGCAGGGCTGGGACGTCAGCGCCATGCAAAATGGCGCTGACATGTCCAAACTCAGCGCCAGTGCACCTGGCTGGGCCAAGGCCGAAACGGCCAAGTCCCACCTCAGCGCCAGGTTGGCTGGCGCTGAGTTTCCCACAGTCAGCGCCATTTTGGCTGGCGCTGAGGTCCCAGCCCGCAAGCCATCCAGAAGGCTTGCTTGGCTGGGCCAAGGCCGAAACGGCCAAGTCCCACCTCAGCGCCAGGTTGGCTGGCGCTGAGTTTCCCACAGTCAGCGCCATTTTGGCTAGCGCTGAGGTCCCAGCCCGCAAGCCATCCAGAAGGCTTGCTTCGCTGGGCCAAGGCCGAAACGGCCAAGTCCCACCTCAGCGCCAGTCCCAAGATCAGCGCCATTTTGGCTGGCGTTGAGGTCCCAGCCCGCAAGCCATCCAGAAGGCTTGCTGGTCTGGGCCTTGGGGTTGCGGCCAAGTCCCACCTCAGCGCCAGTCCGGTTGGCGCTGAGATAGCTGCCACGTCAGCTGGGGATCGGCCCCGGCCGCCACGGTGGCACAATGTCAGCGCCAGTCCCGTTGGCGCTAACACGGCCAACGTCAGCGCCAATGTGTTTGGCGCTGAGGCGACGGCCTATTTTTGGTTGAAGTTTTTGGCAGGGGTTAGTTTCGAAATAAGTTTTTGAAAAGGGTCAATTTGTCAAAAAAAACGGTGAACACTTGCCATTTTGGACATCGATGTGGTCTTCAAAATGCAGCTATGATCACTAATTTCTATCTATTGCAAAATATTCAAAAGGCTAATTATAATACTAAAAAATATTTTTTTCCTTTTCAAGACAAATCTATAAACATGATTTTTATAAATTTAATCCAAATATTTTATAATATATGGATGTTCAAAGTTTTTAAACTTTGACTTGAGATATGTCCAAAACGACATGTTTTTGTAACTGAAGGAGAGAGTACGTGGCATCCAATTATAAAAGAACCGAAAGAATCACAGGTTTGTAGGAAAGCACTAACAAAATGAAATGAGATGGTGCCATCTGTCAAGGGTTAAGGGAACTTGTCATGTCTTTAGCCACAGATAGTTCAAGGTTCCAGAATTCCCGGTAGCTATAGTGCTATACCAACAGGTATACCATCTGAGGCCATTGGAAGCAAAGATTGTGTATCGATATGAATTAGAACTTACAAGCGGAGGTCATTTTTGCTACTTACTTTTACACAAGTGTATCATCATAAAGAAATTGCTCAAGGTTGCTATATCTGGTGGGCCTTGTAAAACTGAACAAATGCATCTTAACGAAAAAAGTGTCAGTTAGGACAAAAATCGCTAGTTGGTGCTTGACTTAAGCAGCTAATGTCCCTGCTGTTGTAAAAATAGTACAGCTATATTGCTTCACACTGAGACATGGTTAGAAGGGTAACACTGCCCTATTATGTAGTGAAAAGATGTCGATAGCATAGCTCCATGATGTCAACTCCCTATCAACACTAGGTAAAAGTTTGTCACTCACTCACTCTCACCAAACACATTTTATGTGGAAGCTGAAGCTATGCAACAGTAATCCAATTATCTCCTTGTATATCATCATCATCTGAAAAGGCCAAAAAGGGCAATCTCGCAAACTAATGTTATTACCTTCTGTGCTCCAAAGTCCAAACATCCAACTCTGGGCTAGACCATCATCATTGTAATACTTTCAGTGTGATAAGAAATTGCCAACAATACCATGGAAAATTTTCCCTACAATCATGCCATTGAACAAGGAATGAGCCACAATTGCAGTTTGCAGACTTGTATTTCCCACTCATAATCAGATGCAAGAACTTAGAAGCACACAACAAGATGTACATTAGTACATAACATTTTTCGTACAGGCTATATATATTTTTTCTTTAGAGAATCAGACCATATTACAAATATAAGTAGTTTGACAGTACAGTATATTTATGGTATGCAACACAAGGAACTATAAAGCATGCTAAGATTCACAAGCATAATTCCAGAACGTAATGTAAGTTTGAAAGAACGGTGTATATACTTGTGTACACCATAAAAAATGGAGCATATAACTAAGAGGAAAAAAAAAGTACTAGTAGGATACAACAAGGACATGTATAGGACTCAGCAGACAAGGTATTGCAATGTTGTTGTAATGGTGGCAAAATAACATCCAATCATAAAGATTAAACGCTAAGCAGTTTAGCAGAAGTTCAGCTAAAGAAGTCCTTGGTTCACTGATATGTTCTGAAGTAGTTGAACTTGATAGTAGAGGATAGGACTTGAGTACTTACTCCATCACACTATCAGATATGGATCATACAAAAGGCACTGTAGAAGTGAACAGTATTCATTTCTCATGGCCTTAAGTGCTTGTAAGAATCATCACTTTATTTCTTTACATGCTCCACAGCAACAGGATGGTCTATCTGTCAAAAAATATCACAAATTTATTGATCACACGTCATGAAGAGGATGTTGAGTACGCATATGTCAAGGCATGACAATATTGAATGATCTAACTGCATGGATTAACACAGGTAATGATTTTAACCCTATATGTAAATACAGATACTTGTACAGTTCCCTTTTTTTTCCTATGCATATATGTGTGAATGTGTGATCGTGTGGCTTAACCTTACTTAATTATAAAATTGTGATCTTATGTGTGTTGTGACCTTGAGGTCAACATGACATCATCAGTTCACCAGGACTCTGGTGTCAGAAGAGTCCTGATTTGACCAACAGATGTAATACAGTGGCAGATCAACTCAAGCAGCCTGGAGTAATAGACCTGTAGCCATGTAGGCAAGGCACAATTACAAAAAATGATATCCAACTCTCTACAAGGTTTACAGCATTATGCAAAAACTGCCATTCAAACGCTGGACAGCTATAGGAATTCCTATTAGTACAATTTGAAACATAAGTACATAAAAGCACTGGTTCTCGAAAACTTTTCCCTAACCAATGGCGATGTGAGTTACAAACATAAGTCCACACAGGTCAAGCAGTTAACTCTACGTAGCTGGACAGCTCTAGGAATTCTTATTAGTACGATTTGAAACATAAGTAGTAAATAATAAAAGCACTGGCTCTCCAAAACTTTTTCCTAACCAATGGCAATGCGAGGTACAAACATAAGTCCACACAGGTTAACACTATGTAGTCGGTACAGATTTGACAATGTCATCACCTAATGTTACTTGAAAGTTTGTGGAGTGATTAATGAAATCATTTTCTATGTTACCAATTGTTTAAGAAAATTGTAAATTTCTGAAGGGTTTAAATTGGTTGCAATCACCAAAATTTAGGTGCTCCCAGAGCCCAGAAATGTCGTCATATAGTAACTGTACAAGAAAACGGCAGGCAATACTCGGAAAATAAAACAATGAATTCAATGTGCATTTTGTCTCTTACCTTGCAAATTGCATAATAACCATGATGAGCAATCCCATACGTATCTGTAATATCCAAGAACCTCCCACATCTCTTCAAGGAATCTCATGATCGCTGTAAATAGAGGATATTATCATCAATCATAAGAAAATGCAGGAAATTGCTAAAGTGTCCATGGATGATTGATTTAAGTGATTAGATGAAATGAATGATTACCTCAACTGTTATTTCAGCATGGCAAAAAGGGCAGTGCTTTGTCTGTTGTGTGTTCTTGGTTCACTTTACACATTGCCAATCCTGAATAGATTAGGATGATATCATTTGCCAAAGCATGTTACTTACATATATGCTCTTCTGCAAAGTCATCATCCGTGTCAGCTATAGATTTCACAAGAGTGACTTCCACCAGTTCATCGCAAAGTGCAAGGGTTGACTCCAAATTATCTTCATTAAAACTGAGATCAATATAAAAGTTGTATACATCTGGTTCTGCTGTAAGACGTTCCTTCCTCATCTTCTCAAATAATCTTCTCGCTTCAGTAAATTTCTTTTTTTTATTCAACAATCTTATAAGAGCATTGTATGAGCTTGCAGTAAGCCTGAATCCCTTTTCTATCATTTCACTATGGAAATACAGAGCCTCTTTCATATTTCTTGCCTTACAATGTCCCTTGATCAAAATATTATATGTGTTTTCATTTGGTACCACCTCCTGTGAAAGCATTCCCTTGTAGATCTCGGTGGTTGATTTCATGTTCTTTTCAATGCAATACTGCTTCATAAGAGAATTGTATGTTGTGGTATTTGGGTGGATGTTCTTCTCCAGCATCCATTCAAGCAGCCTCTTACCTCCTTCTACCCTACCTGACATGCAAAAGCCATTCATTAGAACATTATAAGTCACAATAGTAGGCTTAATTCCTTTATCTAACATCTCTTGCAAAAGGCTGTGAGCCCTGTCAAGCTCTTTGGACTGGCAAAGAGCACCAATAATAGTTGTATATGTGTAAACGTCTGGTTTAAGACCTGCTTCATCCATGTCTATCATGGTCCTCATAGCTTGCTCCAAATTGCCAGCCTTGCACAAGCCATTGATCAGGGAGTTGTATGTGAAAATATTCAGCTCTAACCCCTTGCTGCACATCTCATGCAATAGTTCATTAGCAGCACACACATCCCCCTGCTTGCAGAGTCCATCTGACAGAGCCGTGTATGTCACTACATTTGGTGTCACTCGTTTCTGCACCATTTTGTTATGCACCAGAAAGGCCTCCGTCATCTTCCCAACCTTGCAGTACCCATCAATGAGAACTGTATATGTGACCGCATCAACATCCAATCCCTTGTCCTCCATCTCCTGAAGCACTCTCTCTGCCTCTTTCAACTCTCCAGCCCGACAAAGGCCATTGATCAGCGCAGTATACGTCACTCCATCAGCTGCCAACCCTCTCTTCTGCATCTCATCAAACCAATTCCTTGCAGCTGCCAAATCACCTTTCCTACAGAACCCACTCATTACCGTTGTGAACACCGCTGCATCCAACACCACTCCATGCATCACCATATCCTCTACCACCCTCACAGCATCTGAAACCTGCCCTTCGTCGCACAACAATGCAATAACACTAGTATAGGCTACTGGGTTGAGTTCCAACCCCCTTGCTGCCATTTCACTTAACAGCTTAATCGCAGTCTCCAGCTCACTAAGAGTACAATACCCATGCACCATAATGCCATATGTTACAACATCTGGCGGCGATGCCATTTCATCAAACAGTTGGTGCGCATCCTTGATGCGGCCAGCGGTGCACAGCGCCTTGAGTAGTATATTGTACGAGCAGGTGTTCTTCTCCGGGAGTTCCTGAAACAACTGAACGGCTTCATCAAGCGGGAGGCGGCAGAGCACCGCGTTACAGGACTCCGGGGAGGGAGAGATGCCGTACTGGCGGAGGCGGAGGAGGAGAGGCGCGGAGGGGAGGCACAGGAGGAGGAGGTCGAATGAGACAGGGTCGGAGGAGAAGGCCTTGTAGGTGGAGATGAACTGCTCGACGAAATGCCGATGAGGGGACGGGAAGCGAAGGGCGCGAACGAGGATGGCCCGCGCGGCGCCGGGATCGCGAACGGCGGCGAGGTGGGCAGCGACCGCGAAGGACTGGAGCAGGTGAGGGTGCGGGCGAGGCCCGGAGGGGAAGAGGAGGAGGAGCGGCAGGAGGATGGTGGGGAGGTGCGGGTGCGAGGCGAGCAGGGGGAGCGCGAGGAGGAGGTGAAGTGGGCGGAGGAGAGGGAGGAAGGGGAGGGGAGGGAGAGAGCCCGGGTTAGGGGAGGAGAGGACGGCGGCGGCGAGGCGGCGCGCGAGGTCGTCGTCGGCCGGCGAGTCCGGGCGGGGCGGGGAGTAGTCCGGGAACGGGCGTGGCGCGGCGGTGGTTGTGAGGGCGTTGCTCTCAGCCGGCGGCGCGCGACGGCGGCCGTGACGATGTTGGGAGGTGGTGGTGGTGGTGAGGCTAGAGCAGGCAGAGCCCGCGCGCCGGAGGAGGGGTCGCGAGTGCGATAATCGGGAGGAGCGCTCCGCTACGGCGGCGACGGCGCGGCGGAGGAGCATCCGGCGCGGGCGGATCCGGGGATTGGGCCTCCTGCCGGAGGCGGCGACGGCGGCGGCGGCGGCGGGAGACGGGCAGATCGGTTGGCAAAGAAAAATGAAAAACTTTCGGGACGCGATAGCATATTGAATGTCACTAAAACAAGAATAAATTCAGCCCAAAGGTGCACGTAAATTGGTCCAAAAGTTTATTTGCAAGTCAAATAGGCCCAGAATTTCATCCCAATAATTGGGCTATTTTGTGGCCCATAGAAAAATCAGTGATGGGCCAAACCGTTGCCTGACGTCAGCTGGTTGCAGGGCAGACCGACGCTTCGAGTCCCAAAACGGTCAAACCGAAACCGAGCCACCTCTCGCCGTCGTCTCCGGTCGCCAACCCGTCCCACCCGTGACGTCATGCCGACCGCCAACCTCAGGTCGCGCGCCGCCGCGGCCGCGGCCGCCGCCGCATGCCTCGCGGCCCTCGCGGTGGCGGCTCTCCTCCACCGCCGGCGCAGACGGGGTCGCGCTCGCGCACCAGCCTCGCCCGGCCTCCTCGGGGGACGGCGAGGGCGCCGCCCGCGCCGAGCCTGCGAGGAGGAGGAGAAGCCGCAGGCCCGGTTCAGGCGCGTGGTCGCGGACAACTCCTACTCCGCCTTCAAGCACCTGCGCCGCCAGGGTGCTGGACCGGTTGGCTCCGGCCACCACGGCAGCGAGGCCCAGCCGACGTCTCAAGGTGTGGTCACCCTGCTCCTGTTTCTTTTGATCTCGGCATTGCCTTGCCCTTGTAGATGTGTGGTTGTATTGGGAATTCTGCGAACGGTTGGTACGCTAAGGAGACTAAGGCAGGATTAGGGGGGACGTAATAGCGTGTTGGTTCTTCGGGGAATTTCGTCGAACATTTTGAGTGCAAGGTTGCTCCGAGCTTGAGGATTGACTATGGAGATCTGGACCTGTCTCTTTGCATACGAGGAACATAAGGAAACGATTGCTTAGTTGATTGCACAGCGTGTTAGTCCTTACTTGGCATAGGAAGGGGCCTTCATGATGCCAGTTCCCTTGTTGGAGCTTCGTCAGGTAGTTATCAACGTGCACTGAAAACACAACGTGGAGCTTCGTCAGGTAGTCCTTACATTGCATGCTTTGTCTATTTCTTTATCAATGCATTACTGTACATCATCACACCCTTACCCATAATATTTGGTACAGTTAGTGCATCTCTTGTTTAGGAATTAGGATTCCTAGTTAGACAAAAATTAAAAAGGTGGATCGATCAAAATTACTACTTCACGAGGACTTTTATTAACTTTACCAAAGATTCCTACTTCTCAAATATTATGAGTTAGTAAGTTTACTACAAGGCTGTACTGCACAGCCTTGCTCACAATATTTGGTACAGTTACTGCATCTCATGTTTAGGGACTCCTAGTTAGGCAAGTAAATTGAAAAGATTGATCGATTAAATTACTACAAGTGCATAAACCGTTATTGATAGTTAGTAAGAGGAGATGCTGAAAGCACAAGTGCCTGAGTTTAAGTTTGATTGCATGAGTTTTCACCATAGTCTCTATGCGCATACTGCAAGCGAATTGACTGCACATTGAGTAGGTGACACATTTCCTTTTCTTATCGATACAGAGTCATCACAAAAGGTGCATCCATTTGAGGAGGAAATCACTTCCTTGCTGAACAACCCACCTGATTTTCAGAATTTTATGCCTGGTGATCGATGCCCAGAAATGAGCACTTCATACAATTGGGTCGAAACAGATGCTCAGTTGGAGGACCTGGCTAGGTTGTTGGATGATGAAAAAGCTTTTGCTGTTGATACAGAGCAACATAGCCTTCGGTCATTCTTGGGATACACTGCACTAATGCAGGTAACTGGTGGTGGATACCTTCTTATTGCTCTGTTGCTTATTGGCCTGTTAAGATTATGACATATAAATATCATTTTTAGATCTCTACCCAGAAGGCAGATTATTTAATAGACACAATAGCGCTGCATGACGTGATGAGCATTCTACGACCAGTTTTTGCCAATCCTTCAATCTGTAAGGTTGTGCATCTCTTATATCTGATATCACTGGAAACCATTAGTTTTCATTTTCAGTTCTGCTTAAAGTGATTTTGCCACTTACCATTTGTATTTTTGAATTGTGATGGATTTGCATGTTGTCCAACTTTGGAAGCTCTAGAATTATGGAATGTGCAGTACAGATGATGGTGTGAATTGATTTACATGTTATTCCAATAAAGTTTAAATTACACTTGTGATTACAGAGATAGGGTGTAGGAGAACATGGTGTAAACAAGTTGTTTCCACCAGCGTCACATTTGTGTGCACCCTTGGTACTAAGATTACTATAAAAGATATCTAGAGAAGTTCAGAGATTGATTCTTTCTGGTTAAAGAGCTGAGCCATGGTCCATGGTCCATAAATAAAACAATGTAAAAATGCCTTTTAATTATTATATTTTCACCATAACACATGATTCACATTGTCTGATGTGCAGGAGGGATTAAGCCTAGAGCTTTCATAGTTCATCCCTCCTAAACGTGGTTTGTTTGACAGTCTAATTTCCTGTTTGTATCAAGCTTAAACCCACTAAACTCTAATTTATGATATCCATAAGATGGTGGATTGTTCTTTCTCAGCCATCATGAAAGATAATTATGTGTCTCTGCATTAGAGGTAGTAATATATTTTTTTTTCCAAGAATCATGCTGCGTTGTTGATACTGCAGGGCCAGGAACCACTATACACAAACAACCAAAATATGGAAGTTTGAAGGACAATAAGTCAAAAATTTTTTCAGCCAATCCTAATAAGACATGTAATTTCTATAGAAGCTGGGCCCCGAACACTCTAAATGAACGAATGCTGAGTTTGGTATTTGGCCTAACAAATCAATCCAACAAACCTAAAGCCCTTAAATCTTCTTGTAAATTTGAATTTCTGGAACATGGGGCCCTAACAGCATGGATGATTTACATGGTACGGTGGGTGTTTGGTTGATCAAGATAAGATTGCTGAATGAGTCCATCAGTGTTCTCATAGACATTTTACTATTTTGCCCAGAAATGGTCCGTTTACCCTTGGCTCTTCAGAATCAATGCTATATGAATCATTTGGTTCTTGTTTTTTCCTTTCCTGTCTGGTTATTATTAACTTTTTTCATGTATTATTCTTTGTCAGCTCTCTCTCTCTCTCTCTTTTGTTTACTCTTCTCTGTCTATTACTCACTATCAAACTGATGATCACACTTTAGCAAGTGAACATTTGGACATTGGTAGAGTTTTAGTTATCGATATGTCTGCTTGATATTTCACCATGGAGAAAAATAAACCACAGTGAAGCAAACTTTTACAAAGCCGTATAGACATCCTTATGTATATGAACTGATGCTAGCTCTAACCCCTAGACTACGGTTTTGAGTTGTTTCATTACCATCCTTGCTCCCTTTTCTTTTTCTGTCCTTTGTGCATATGGAACCTTCAGTATTGTCTCTGGCACTTGATAGTCTCATGAATTCCTTCAGAGCTCATAACTATTTTAGCTTGTAATCTCATTTCTTTGCAATGTAGTGGCAGAGGCCTTTTTTAGACACCTACACTAATTTCTAATGAGTTTTTGACTATTAGCCAAAATCAATTGCTGTATAATCGTCTCAGCAGAAGATCTGTGTTGCTTTCTTTTATTAAATGCAGTTTCATTTACCTTCTCCCTACTTATTTGTCAGATCTTCCATGGAGCTGACAATGATGTTCTTTGGCTTCAGAGAGACTTTCATATTTATGTTGTGAATATGTTTGATACTGCCAAGGTAAGTCCCCCTACAGTATGCATGTCTTGGATGAAACATCTAATACCATTCCGCAGAGATTTCTCCAGCATGCGAGCGAACTGTGCCTGTTTTTTGTCGCATATAATGTTTGCTTGCCATGTCTTTTCACTGTAGCAAGTTACATGCCATACTGTACGTAGATATGGCAATAGGTCATGAAACATCATTTTACTTGGACATCTCATTAGATGTGAGCATATTTTACTTTCTTTAATGTAATGAAAGAACATCAGCAGTGCCAATCAATTGCTGACCTACATTTGTGTGCTTCCCGTTCATTTTTGCATTAGTGGTTATAGTTTTTTCATGGGACAACATAATGAGCTGCTAAGCATCATCACCAATATTATGATATGTGATAGTTTAAAGTTCGTCACGCTTGATTACAATTTCTTATGTTTCAATTTTATATATTTGATTTTAGCTTCAAGTTTCAACCAGAAATGTATTCATGGTTTAAGCAGGGGAAATGATTTCATAACTGGTTTACTGCAATATGAAAAGATTTATGGATTTACAATGTGTTTACGATGAAAACATCTTTTTTTGGTACCAGTTCCTATAATCTAGAGTAGAGATCACCTTCTTATGAATATTTTGGTCATTGAACATTGGTTGTTTAATGGCAACTTTGCCCCTAAAGTTATTCACCTATGCTATCTTAGATGTTCATTTTTTTTTCACCGGACCTCACTTTATTATTTATGTTATGCATGTATGCCCTTTTCTGAATTGCCTTATGAAAGTAATTTATTGCAGGCATGTGAGGTTCTATCAAAACCACAGAAGTCATTAGCATATTTGCTTGAATTATATTGTGGAGTGACCACAGACAAGACAATGCAGGTAGGCCATTTATTAAGGTTGGCTTGCTAAAGCCACTAAAGTGTTTTCATCAGCTTATTTACTGGTTTGTTTACTGTTTAGTAGCTGGTTAGCTTTCATCTGCCGCCTCAATTTTTACATGATTACTTCTTTTTAGCACTTTAGACACAATGGTGCACAGGGTGCTACAAAATGTTTAACCATGTTAGTTACAGAGAATCTTTGCCAATTCATTTAGAGCATTTGTGTTGCACTTATTTATGAGCTTAGCAAGATATATGTTTAGCTTTTGTTGAAGCTTTCATGTCCTAGAAAACATTAGTTGCATAAGCTCATGTTATGCATTGTTGATTGTGATTTCAGAATAATAATGTAGCAGTAGGTTCTTTCAAATTCATTTTTGCACCTATGGAAGCTCATGTTATGCATTGTTACTCTGATTTCAGAATCTACTGGTGTAGCAGTAGATTCTAAGTCATTTCTGCACTATCTGTTGTTACAAATATTAAGCACCATTACTGAAATAAATGATTGTTGACCTAAATACCTAATGGTGGTCAGTGGTACTAAGCCCTAAATTGTGGTGGTTTTCTGAATTTGTGCCTTTACATCCTTTAAAGCATGTCACTAAAATGGTTGTCACATCTTTAGTTATATTTTGTCACTACTTGCATTACTTTATGCATGATTCCCTTGCCCTTTTACTCAATTCCATTTGATCCTCATACAAATTCTTGATCGAAACTCTGTTCCATTAATCAATCTCAGCTGATATTTAGAAGCCTGTTTCCTTATGCATTCAATTGTTATTAAATAGGTGACATGTAAAAGAAAATGATAAACAAGTTCCTTCTGCCTACTTGTAATCGATGACCTTTTAGTTGTGCCTGCAAAATTTACTCCTTCCAGTCAAGTATATTTGACATAGGGAGTACTAGAACTGATACTCCCAACGTCAGATATACTTGACCGGAAAGAGCAGTTTGTTTTCCAGCATCACAGTTGCTCTCATTTTTACGGTTCATTCTCCTTGATTCTGATATTTCAGCGTGAGGATTGGAGATTACGCCCACTAACACCAGAAATGATTCAGTATGCCCGTTGTGATGCGCATTATCTGTTGTACATTGCAAATTGTTTGGCATCAGAGCTTCATGCAAAAACTTACGGTATGATCTATGTTCCTATGTCGAGTTTCCCCTTGCTTTTTTGGAGGGGAACTTTTCCCTTCCAATATGTACTATATGCTACTTTTAGTTGTTACAAGATAGTAATTTGTTCAGCAAACTGAGTCAACAAGGCAATTAGGGTGTGTTTGGTTGGGTGGATGGGACTGGATGGGAGATGGCCGCCTGATTTTTTGGGGTGTTTGGTTGGAGGACAGGGTGGATATGGTGACCCAGAATAGAGAATATTCTCTCAATATGCTGGATGAAGGGATCCGGTTCTTTTGGCCGGATGAAGCCATCCACCTTCTTTAGGACGCTGATTAGTACATGATTAGTGAGTTGATTAGAGTATGATTAACGGTATTAGCATGTTTTGCTATTAATTAGTAGTTAGCATGGCAAGATTAGTGTCAACAAGTGTTAATTCCAACCGGTAAGTGTATAACTAGTAATATTATGCCAATTAAGATATTATAATTAGTTAATTAATCTCATCCGATGCATCCTCATCCTATCAACCAAACAAAAAGTTGGCTCATCCCATCCATACAACCAAACACAAAACTTGTATATCCTCATCCTTAAAAACATGGATGAACATATCCCATCCAACCTTGCCCTTCAACCAAACATGGATGGACATATCCCATCCAACCAGACATTACAGCATTACCACAGACAGCTACATTTGACATCTTAGAGTCCTAGACAATAGAACTCATGACTCCCTGCATCTCTAAATTAGTTTCACATGAGCTCACAAGCATCAGTTTATCTGGATTGTTCTATGTTCACCCTTCAGTTCAGCTGAGCACATTGTTTTCTGCAAATGTAAATTACTGATGTAGCTCTGTTGGGCTGCGTTCCAACCTAGAGGTTCAAAACGTTTCCTCTCTGGCACGAAAAACAGGTGGCTCATTAGCACATGATTAAATAAGTATTAGCTTAAAAGACTTGAAAATGGATTAATAATTTAATATGATTTTTTTAAATAAACTTTCCAATATAAAATTTTTGCAAAGAACGCACCATTTACCAATCTGGGAAGCCTGCGCATGGTAAACGAGGGAGTAGAAGTTTGGAAACTGGAAAGGGGAGCTTAGAACACAGCCTTAGTCTGTTATGCTTAAACTTTAAAAAGCTTCCAGTCCTTGAGCTGTGTCTGGAGGACCATCTATGAAAAAATTATATAAAGATATGCACTATCTATTGTACTCTCTTTTGAATGCTTCCTCCACCCAAGAATGTAAGGCATATTTTTTGGACTGCAGCCCTTAGAGATACTAATTAGAGAGTAATCAAGTAACGTCTAATGACTCTTTGGTCTATGTTCAAGATGAAATATATCTTACATTATAGGACAGAGGGGATCAGTAACTTTCAAGCTACAAGTAAAAACAAAATTTCATGTACTAATACCTTAACCTGTGCATAAACTGGAACCTTCTGGATCAAGTATCTAAAACTTATTTGATAATAATATCAGCAAATATTTAGCTTTGTAAGAAAATATATTGGTCTATTAGCCTATACAATCCTGTTATGCAGCTTAAGAAAATGAGATTCCGTGTTGAATTGATGATATTTTATTGCTTCCTGAAACCAAATTACATAATTATTTCCATTGTTCCCTGTCTCACTTTTTTGATAAACTGTAATATCTAATCAGATGCTTCAGACTCTCCCAATGACAAAATCAATTTTTTCTTCGAGGCCAGCCATCGCTCAAATATGGTGTGTATGCAACTGTATGCAAAGGAAATTGAATGTCCACCAGGAGCATCCTCTGCGGCGTCTATTTTGTCAAAAAATTTGCAAAGCCATGGACTTGACTCCTATAAATCAAGTGAAGTGAAGGTGCTCGTTTTCTGTATTTGTTTGCCTGCTTGCCAGTGATTTCAATAAATTCTCAATTTTGTTGCTCTTTTGTAGGATCTTGTTTGGAAAATTTGTGCATGGAGGGATTTAATGGTCAGCCAACATATTCTTATTCTTTTAGAACAATTGATTTTCGCATTTTCGTAGGGTATATTCTTAGCTTTTTGTTAAATCTATTAGCTGTATTTGGTGCTTCACACATTGTATTTTCCTATTTCTGCATATATTAAGTTGCTGCACCCAATAATTTGACATATCTGTTTTCTTGTGATTCTGGTCTCTGGATTTCCAGACTCTTCAATTATCTTGATTACTTCATTGCAGGCTCGCATGCATGATGAGAGCTTACGGTATGTCCTGTCAGACCAAGCTATAGCTTCCCTTGCTGTTAGTGTTCCAAGAGGTCCAACTGAGGTGTGTTCTGCCATATTAGAAACTGAAACAAGCAATTCAACTGTGTATCCTTCCTTGCCGCCACCTTCACCTATTGTTGTTGCTCACGCTGAAGAACTTCGCTATCTGATTGAGGACATCACTGTCAGCATGGATGCCATCTTTAAAAATTTGCTTGAGAAGTACAAAGATCCAAGTAGATTATGTCGACTATCAGTTTTTAATTATAACCTTGTATCACAGCTGAGTTTGAAGCAAAAAAATATGTTCTCCTTTGCATCAAGTGGGGAGAAGTTGTTGATGGCACCAACTAACAAAAAGGCTTCCCGGGAATTATTCATTAAAAAGTTTTCATGCAAGTCCCCAGTATATCACAATTGCAGGATCTACGCCAGTGATGGAAGACTGCTTTGCTACTGTGACCGTAAAAAGTTGGAATGGTTTGTCACTTAGATGCACTATTTAGTGTTTATAGGTATGTAAAATCATGGTTATCTTATCAAACTGACCGACTCTTCTTTCCAGGTATATTCAACGTAATTTAGCAAAATTAATAGAAGATAATCCTCCAGCAATTGTGCTCTTGTTTGAACCTAAGGGTCGCCCAGAGGATGAGGATAATGACTTCTATATTCAGAGCAAGAAAAATATTTGTGTCGGATGTGGAGAAAAGAGCCACTATATCAGATATAGAATTATACCATCGTGCTACAGGATGCATTTTCCAGAGCATCTGAAGAGCCATCGTTCACATGATATTGTACTTCTTTGCGTAGACTGCCATGAAATTGCTCATTCAGCAGCTGAGAAGTACAAGAGGCAAATAGCCAAAGAATTTGGGGTGCCGCTTTTTGTACAGAAGATATTAAACTCAGGTGATATAAGTTTAATAGCTGGTGCATCATTATCTGAAGATAAATCAAATGGAACAGGTGTGTCTCCTTTGCAGCTGAGGACTGCTGCAATGGCCCTTTTAAGACATGGATCCAATATGCCTTTGAAGAGATATGAAGAGCTAATGCAGGTGATGAGAATCTTCAAGTATTTTGGGCTTCACCACAGTTTCAACATTGTCTTATTGAAACTTTTCATGCTAGTTATCATCAATATTTCAGTAGACCAAATTTGTTCTTATAATTAGCCTTAAATCTGTATTGCTGACCTATTCATTTCTTTGCAGATTGTGAAGTCATACTATGGTGGTAGGGATGTGACTCCTGAAGATCTTGAGATGGCATTACTTGTTGGCATGAGTCCCAATGAGCGAAGGCGACATTCAAAGAAAAATGGTTTTTCTTACCGATCCCAGGCTCAAAATGTTATTAGAAAAAGCAACAGCAACGGCATTGTTGAGAATAATGAACATGATCCAGAAAATGGATATGCTGAGCAATTTTCTAAAAATGGAGTTGAGAATAACAGTCATCCAGACATTGATGAGAATAACAATCAGCTAGGTATTGATGAACATACCAGTCAGCCAGGCTCTGGGGGTAATAAGATACATGGTCCAACTCTGAGCAAAGAAAGCACAATCTATCCACCCCGTATGGCTAATCCCATTTCTGACTCTAGCATTGAGGCAGACACCGTGCAGCAAGCAAGCTTAGGTGGTAATCCTGCAAACGGTGATCTTGACAGGGATCCATGCGGCAGTAACAATTCTAACCAAGCCATTCCCCAAAACGGTGACAAGAAGATCTCCCTGTTAGGTCATGGGCATCACGGTAAACAGGTCGTGGAGCTTTTGCTTTCCAACGGTGGCGAGGAGGCCATTAACCAGTTCAGCCAACGGTGGAGGCAGGTCTTCGTAGCTTCTCTTCACCCTCGTTATTTGCCTTCGGGCTGGAATATAAAGCACAGGTGAATTCACCTGTCGTTTTGCTACTCGGTTTGTTCTCACACATTGATAATTGCGCATGTTTGTGGTGCAAAATCACCCTGGTTATCTATCAACTATGTGTAGGTAGATTTGGAAGATTTTTTCTGTTAGATGATTTTTTTTTCCTGGACAATTATCTTTGACCCTCTGGACATGCATACCTTGTGTTCTTTGCTGTGTAGTGGACGGCGGGATTTTGGCGATTTCAGTGTCTACAAGCCATCAAAGAAACCTCCTGCTGCAGATCAATCCGAGACTTTAGCTGCTGCTGCTGTTGTACCCTGAGGTTCTAGTTTACATTCGAAGTTACTTCCATTTCATTAAACCTGAACCTTGTACCTGTACTGTGCCCTTCTATATTCATGTACTACCTTGTTTCTACATCTGGAAAGAACTGGGTTACATCTGTTTGTTCCCTCTGCCATGAAGTTTTGTGCTCACCAATTCTATATATGCAGAAGAATTACAGCAAAACTGGTAAAATAAATAAAATCATTTCCTTGCTAAAATTGAAAGCAACAAGCACAAGTACTAAGGCTGTGTTTAGTTCCACGCTAAAATTGGAAGTTTGAATAAAAAAGTTGGAAGTTTACGTGTGTAGAAAAGTTTTGATGTGATGGAAAAGTTAGAAGTTTAAAGAAAAAGTTGGGAACTAAACTTGGCTAACCTAACCATCATGTCTAAAGCTTGTGTTAATTTTTATTTTTTTGGGTAGTATCTGATATCTACTGCAGGATGCCAGGATATCCTCAGCACGATCCTGAGTCCCAGCCAGTGTGAGTTACTAGTATCTCTTTTCCTTTTATTTTTCATTTTTCCAATATGCTAGTATTTCTTTCAGTTTCAGATGGGCCAAGCCAAAAAATGATTCGAGTGAAATGGAAGCAGCAGAAGCAGCAGCACATCCATCCACATGATCCGACCACTGCCTCCTCCACCACTCACCCCGCCTTGAAAACCCCACCTGCCCTACTTCCGCCTGGAGAGCCTCGGCCCCTCGCCTCGCCTCGCCTCACCTCCACCCAAACCCAATCCGAAATCTTTCCCTCCACTCGCCGCCGCCGCCGCCGCCGCTGTTGCCGGTGACCCGCCAGCCATGTCGTGCTCGCACCTCTCCACCGCCTGGTCCTCCTCCGCCCTGGCCACCCGCCGCCGCTCCGCTCCTAGCTGCGGCAGCAGCGGCCGCCTGCAGGTGGTGCGGTGCTCGCTGCGTGAGCTGCGGAGCCGCATCGACTCGGTGCGCAACACGCAGAAGATCACGGAGGCGATGAAGCTGGTGGCGGCGGCCAAGGTGCGGCGGGCGCAGGAGGCGGTGGTGTCCTCCCGCCCCTTCTCGGAGGCGCTGGTGGAGGTGCTCTACAACATGAACCAGGAGATCCAGACGGAGGACATCGACCTCCCCCTCACCCGCATCCGCCCCGTCAAGAAGGTCGCCCTCGTCGTCCTCACCGGCGAGCGCGGCCTCTGCGGCAGCTTCAACAACAACGTCCTCAAGAAGGCCGAGACCCGCATCGAGGAGCTCAAGCAGCTCGGCCTCGAGTACACCGTCGTCAGCGTCGGCAAGAAGGGCAACGCCTACTTCATCCGCCGCCCCTTCATCCCCACCGAGCGGACGCTGGAGGTGAACGGCATCCCCACCGTGAAGGACTCCCAGTCCATCTGCGACCTCGTCTACTCGCTGTTCGTGTCCGAGGCGGTGGACAAGGTGGAGCTCCTCTACTCCAAGTTCGTCTCCCTCGTCCGCTCCGACCCCATCATCCAGACGCTGCTCCCCATGTCGCCCAAGGGGGAGATCTGCGACATCAACGGCGTGTGCGTGGACGCCACCGAGGACGAGCTGTTCCGGCTCACCACCAAGGAAGGGAAGCTGACCGTGGAGCGGGAGAAGGTGAAGATCGAGACGCAGCCCTTCTCACCCGTGGTGCAGTTCGAGCAGGACCCCGTCCAGATCCTCGACGCGCTCCTCCCGCTCTACCTCAACAGCCAGATCCTCCGCGCGCTCCAGGAGTCGCTCGCCAGCGAGCTCGCCGCCAGGATGAGCGCCATGAGCAGCGCCACCGACAACGCCATCGAGCTCCGGAAGAACCTCTCCATGGTCTACAACCGCCAGCGCCAGGCCAAGATCACCGGCGAGATCCTCGAGATCGTCGCCGGCGCCGACGCCCTCGCCTAAATCCAATCAACTCATTTCTTCATCCCATCCACCTCGCTTGAGCTGCTGAGGTTGCTGCTGTTATATATACTACTCTATTCTTTTTTACTTCCTTTTTCTCTCTTGCTATTGTGTCTGTAATTTCTGTGATAGCACGAAAAAAAAAAGGAAAAAAGATCGATCCGACTCGATCGATGTAATTGTTAATCGCGCGAGATACACAAGATTTCAATTCAGCGATGCCAAATGTACAAGCAGAGTATTCTACTACTATCTTGCAATCTCCTCTACTTGCCTTTCTAGATTAGGAGGGATATCGCCGTATGCAGTTTCTTCCTTTTCTTGTGTGATTTTGGTGTTGACGACACTTCCTTTTTTTCCTTTCCTTTTCTTTTCTGTTTGCTTCACTTTCCTCGAGCAAGCAAACCTGTGATGCTGCTTCACCGTGCACAACTGAAACAGTGTCGTGTCGTCTATTAGCTGCAAGTTAGCAACTTTGACGGGCAGCAGTTCACAGGATCATCGGAGAAGAACGACGCCGCCGGCGTCCAGAGCTTCCTCAGCGAGCTTCATTCCCGACTGACGCCGGACACATATGCCCATCGTCGATCTCTCGTTCTGCTTTTCTCCGATTGGTCTCCGTATTGCATAAGGAGAAGGTGCAAACTGAGCCGCCGTAAGTCGTCGCCCAGCCCCTCCGGCGACACCTCCACCAGTTCGGCTTAGGCTTCGCGCGCGAATCTGCGATTTCTAATCGGGCTCGGATTCAGCAATGCCGCGCATATAGAGAAGAATTCACGAGGATTAGCCATTAATCACAGCAAGCTAATCACCGACTTCAACTCCAACTCCGTCTCCGACTTGCTACCATCACCGATTTCAACTCGGACTCGGACTCGGACTCGGCTGCCGATAAATCCAAGCCCGCCGCCACTCTCCGTCTACGCATTCCCCACAATTCCTTCCACCCATCCTCGCAGCAGCGCTCGTTCGTCCATGGCGCTTCCCCACCACTCGAGTCCCCGCTCCTCGCGCCCGATCAGCCACCGCCGCAGTGAGCTCGCCGTCGAGGCCAAGGGGAGAGTAGTCTCCAATAAGGCGTCAGGAGGGTCGCCCGTCAAGAAGATGTCATCCGCGCCGTCGCCGGCGCCCGTGTCCTTCAAGAAGGGCGACGAGGTGCGCATCCGCACGCCGGTTGGGAGGCTAGGGACCACGACGCTGCGCCTCGTCATGTGGCTCGGCGCGGTCGTCGTCTCCGACGCTGATGCCGACGACGGCCACCTCGAGGTCATCTACAACGGCAACTTCCCGCGCGACGACCCCTTCCGGACCGTGCGCGTCGCCGTCAAGGACGTCAAGCTGCCCGCGCCGCGCCCGGCCCCGACCCTGACCCCGGCAAACATGGCGGCCCCGCGGCCGACCACGGCCGTCAAGTCGCTGCCGCGGCTGAAGATGTTTGTGCTGGAGAAGGAGCAGCTGCGGGCCAAATCCGAGGCCTTGTTGGCACCGTGATCAGTGTTCTTCAGTAGTAGCAGTAGCTGCAGAAGTTTGTAGGAATCAGAACATGTCTTGGTTTGCATGGAAGGCAATGTGATCTTGTAAATTCTCATAGATAGGATGATTTCTTGGCATGAGAAGAAGAACATGCAATCTGTGTGAACTGTAATTTCTCATTGATTATGAATGGAAGATCGAGGCCAATATATGCATGCATGATGCATGTTGATCCAAGTGTTCGGATCAGAATCACAATCCAGCTGCACTCTGATTACATGTATGATTACAATCCACCTGCCGATAACTTTGATCTTATAGCTAGGATTCAGCTTCCAATTCTTTGCATGCCTTTGGCTTTCCTTGCCTTTGTTGATCAAGAGCCTGGGTATGCAGCAAACAAAGCATCTAGCTGGTAATGTCATTTTCAATTTTCATTCAGACGAACCGTTTGGCTCTCAGCAACATCAACGAATCCCAAAAGAATTAGTAGTAGTCTGTTCACAAAGAAATTTAGTTGAGGCGGCAATGTTATTTTGTTTCACTTTGTTGCTCCGAAAAGATGTAAACTGCCGAACTGCGGATTAAGGGACTGTTTGGCACAGCCCCAGCTCTAGCTCCACCCCTCCTGGAGCTGGAGCTCAGCCAAACAGTTTCAGCTCCACCAAAACTGGGAGTGGAGTTGGGTGGAGCTCTCTCACAAAATATACTAGAGTTGTGAAGCTGGGTTTTGGCAGCTCCACAACTCCACTCCAGACTCAATTCCTGGAGTTATATTTAGGAGTTGGAGCTATACCAAACAGACCCTAAGTAGTGGGCTTTGGGCCAAATGCGTCAGAGATATTTAACTATTTGCTACTTTTAGGTGTGGCAATTAACGATTTACCACTGGGCCCATATATCATAGACCCATGTGGACCCACATGTCATTGAGATAGGAGTGACAAATAATTAATTGCCAAATCTAAAAATGACAAATAGCGTGGTGGACAAGATTTATGTGACATCGGTTTTCTCGGCTAGTGGGTTCAAGCAAACAAGACCGGAGGACCTACAAATGGGGCTCCTGATTTTTGTTGTAAAAATCGGGCATTGTTTCAGTTTGTTAAGAAGAATGTTTCTCCACTGGCTTAACACATGTTTCAGACTATTAAAATGATGAAACACGGTTGAATCATAGATTGAAACATGTAACATCAAAGTTCAATTACTGAAACATCAACAAATCCATAAAAATCAAAGGACAAAATTGAAACACCATAAGAAATCTCGCTGTAACAATTTGATCCAACACAAAGAAACATCGAGATACATCGGCTGAAACATAAAAAAAAATCGTGAAGATATCAGTCAGAGCTGGCTTCCTCCCTCACCTCCAATGGCGGCAGTGCAGGAGTAGACCGAAAAAATGACACCCGTAGACATCCAGCAAGCGGAGACGAGAGCTCTGGCGACAACCGTGACGAAGAAGACGACCATGCTGCTGTTCACGACCGGACAAGAAGCTGCCAGGCTGCTCCGTGTGAGTCGACCAACCTTCGCCTCTGCCTCCATGTAAACACCCCTCAATCACAATCAGGCGGCATGCCTTGTTCCATCCTTGGACGGATGAGCTGACGACTGACGTCCAACATGGCGTCGATGGTGGTGAAGGCGGCGGCTGTGGCATCAAACAGAGAAAACAGCATCGAACGTGAGAGAGAGAAAGGGAGGTGCGAGAAAGACAGAGGGAGTCACAGGTGGTTGGGAAATAGCGCACGGCATTTTCTTCTCTCCGTCAGGCGCACGTACGATAAATAGCATTTTTGAAACAAGACCAACAGAAAAGGATTTCTTTTTTTTTTTCAGAACAACTAGGAAACAAGATATCGTCTATACAACGGGATTAGTTATGAGTGAACCATTATTTTCCATGATTTAGCTATGCTCTGAGTGCATGCGAAGGTGGCTTAGGCGTAACGTGAGGAGGTAGACCGTGGTAAGCTGGTTAGAGGCTAGAATAGCACATCCTGTGTACTACTATATACTATACTAGTAGTTTTTTAGTACTACTGTATACTATACTTTTAGTATACTTTTCTAAGTAGTACTAGCTTTTCTTTGGTACACCTTTTTATGCAGCCAAAGTTCACACTAGAGACCTCTAAGAGTAAGTACAATAGCAGGCTGTAAGCTAGCTATAACTATATATCGAGAAGAAAAGAGAAGAGAGAGAAGAAAGCGGGCTACAGATTTGTAGCCAGCTGCAGCACGGACTCTAAGACGTTGTGTGTGTATGAGAGGTAGGACCGGGTATTAATGGTGTAGTATATTTTTATAGGTAACTATTATATGAATGGGTTATTAGATTAGCTATAGATGATTTGGAGCTAACATTTGGCTATACTATTAAACTTGCTCTAACACACTTCTAGTATGTCTTTTTATGCACTAGCCACTAGAGTTAAGAGCTTGGCCATATGTATAGTACTCCTCATGGCTCTCGTTGGCGCAAAGACCTGATACCCACGAATCATACATGATACGCACAAGGTATTTGATGTCTGTGTATCGAGTCCCTAATACCTAGGTATCAGGTAACTGGTACCCAGATTATTCGAGTTAGTACCATAGGTACTAGACCTGATACTATAGGTATCGAGGTACTTGGTCGCTAGATCGGGATGGTATCCATAAGTAACAGACCAGGTACTAGGTATCGGGTACCTAAAGTACTTAGTATCTATATCGGTCAGATACCAGTAGGTACCAGACCTGGTACTAGGTATCGGGTACCTAAAATACTTAGTATCTATATCGGTCAGATACCAGTAGGTACCAGACCTGGTACTAGGTATCGGGTACCTAAGGTATTAGGTACTTGGTCCCTAGATCGGGTTGATACCTGTAGGTACCAAACCTGATATTGGGTATTGGATACCTCGTACTACATTGGGTATTAGGTACCTAAGTTTGCACTGATGTTAGCATCTTAACAATTGAAACCGGTGTGTTATGTCTTCAGCAAGAAGTCGTGCGCTGACATGTGGCCCCTTGAGAGAACACGAAGAGATGTGGGTTGACACGTGGGGATTTACGTGAAGTTGATAAAATAACACAAGTGGTTGGTCGGTCAAATAGTCATGCTCATCAAGTTTGGCCGTAATCTGAAGAGGCCCAATATAACGGGAAAGTGTTTTCATCCATCGAGGGGAGTTTCATGCATGCCACCTAAATAGTCATCAAAAAATTTTTTAAAAAAATTGGTAACATATATTAATATGAGATATATCACTCTACAAACATGCAAGTTTAAATTCAACTCCTATAAGTTGTAATAAAAATAACAAATATAGCTATGAATGTACGATAACTATTTTTAGTTTAATTTTTTACTTTTGTTGTAACTTGTAGAAGTTTAATTTGGTCTTTATGTTTGTGGAGTGATATATTTCATATTAATCTATATTGTCTATTGTTTTCAAATTTTTTAATGACTATTTAGATGATATGCAAACAACAAGGAGATATCCACTCGAGAGATGAAAATCCACATCCCAATATAACCACATATGTATTGTTTCAGACTATCAGTCGATCTCTCGTTCCATTTTTGGGATTGGTATTGCTTATGGCGGCGGTGCAACCTGAGCCGCCGTTCCCTTACCTTCCGGCGACACCTTCAGATTGAACAATGCCGCGCAGAGAATGAATAGATTGTCCAAGTAGAATACCGGATCAGTTAATCACAGCCAAGCTAATGGCTGACTTGAACTCGGACACCGACTTCAATTCCAACT